TTTTATCTATATTTATTTTTTAAGTGTTTTTAATTTTATAATTTGTTAATTTACTGATATATTATTAATCTCATAATCGTTAATTAATTAATTAGTATTTATATTTCTATTTTATTTTATTTTGTATTTTATTTTTTGTCTTAATTTTGGATTTTATATATTACAAATAAATTAAAAGTTAGAAAAAATAAATGCCATCTTTTGTAAAAATAAAAGTAAAAGAAACAACTACTTGATTGGATGTCAATAGAAATGATTAATAGAAGTTCAAGTGAAATAATATCAAAGTGTGAATATGATCTTTATTAATCTAATTCCAATTAGATGACATTATAAAAACTCTATCCTAATTCTAAATTTAGCCATTCTCAATTCTTAAAAAACTAATTTTAAGAAGATTCCATGTACAATAATTTAATATAATAATAGATTTGGATAGATTGTTAAAGTTTTAAAACAATAGATTGGAAGAGAAGGGAATTTGATGTTTTTTTATGATAAATCGATTTAGAACAAAAATTAGAGTACAAAAATTGACCGAGATACAAGAAGGAGAAAAAAGAATTGAAAAAGAAGTGAGAGCTAGAGAGAGAGGGAAAAATAATAATAATAATAATAATAATAAAAAGAATTAAGAGTAATGACCTTAAATGTGGCAATTTCAAGTCCCCTATCTATGATTTCATTTTCTATTTGTTAATTGTTCACCTAAACTCAACAAGCCACCATCATGTCTTTTTTACTCCAAGTTTATCAAATTTTGACTCTGCAAAATTTAACTAATTAAGTGGATGTTTTCTAAGCACCTCAAGCACTCTTGTAATTGCCAATGAATTTTGTCACATATAAATCAAAATATTGACCATTGATGTTTGAAACAACTTTCACTTCATAGATATCTTGTATTATTAGAGCAATCCAAGCAAGAGGTGGAGACAAAACAAGACAAAGATTAACAATGCTTTTCAAGCTCAAACATGCTTACAAAATTGATTTGATAAGAGATTTTCTAGAATTTGATTAGTTGTAGGTAGTAATGAGTCTTTGCTTTAATACTAGATATTGGAAACACAAGATTTTTTGATTATATATTACATCATGATTGCTCAAAAGAAAAGAATTTTTAACATGATTAGAATCTGGATCATAATTGAAGCATATAGTTCAACTCTTAGCTCAAGAAATTCAATTATATTTTCTTAAAAAAGATGTCAACAATTTCTAGTTTCCTAGTAAAGGTTCTTGCCATCTTTAGTCTATTTTTCATTTATGTGTGATAACATGTGCAGAACGTAATTTCAATATAGTATTTTTACTAATTAATCAAATTTATTTGATTGAATTTGAAAATAATCACATTATTCAATAAACATGTGTGTATTCATACAATATTCTGATTACATTACCTTGAATTTGAAATCATTTTTCACTGTGAATATAATTTTTTGCATTGAAAATGAGACGTTTAAAAATGTGATACAGTTCCTTAAACCCCATTCTGAGGATGTAATTAAATATATCAACAATGTTTTACGATGTGGCCAAATTTTAATAGATTTCTTATCATAATAGTAATGAGTATCTTTATTATGACTATCTGTATATAAATATAAATAAGAAGAAAAGTACAAGTTAACTTTAAGTTGGTAAAAAGAGGAACGGAACAAAGTTTAATTTTATGTCTTAGAGAGAAAATTCTATTACATGCCACGTGTTTTGCGACAGGTGTCGAGCTTTATGTCCACGTCGACCAATTTTTTTCCTTCCACCTGGCACAGAATGTGGCCACATTTGGTTGGTTCCAGAGCTGAGTCCGACGTGGAGGCTTTTGCAGAGCTGGGTCCGACGTGGAGGCTCATGTGGTGCTCGATGCAAAATGAAAAAGATGCAAGGTGTCAGAAGCTTGGTGCCACGTGGATTCAGTGGCTTGTTTCTCCTTTTGGAATGCAAAGGGAGCTTCCTCCCATGCTAGGCCTCTTTTTCTGTCTTTGGCAACTTTAACATGATTTTTTTTTTTTTTTTTTTTTTTTTTTAATATCTAGTTGAAAAAAGACAGGTTATGACTCCATAAAAACTTATGGAAAATATTAACCGAAATACGCATTTTTTTATATTATTAATATATATATATATATATATATATATGTATAATTAAAGGATAAATGAAAAATGTAGGGTGAGAAGATTACAGAGCACAAGAATTAAGAATAAATTAATTTTTTTTACAAATTCATGGTCTAATCTTTAATATGTATAAAAAATAATGGACACTACGATTTTTTTATTTTTTATTTTATTTTTTTTCTACTGGTGCAACAAAACTAAACAAACAAATAAACCATACGGAACAGTATATCTCTGTTGTCAAAATCTAGCAACAGTGACAAATAAATATAAATACAAACCATTCTTTTTTGGGGGGGATTAAAGGAAGAATGTGTAATTCAATGAAATCACAGATTACACTAGGAAACTCGTATTATAAATTATCATATTCGAAGTTTACTTGACGTTTCTTTTATGAAGCTATTATTTTTCTATTTCAAATTCAAGTTCCTTAAAGGCAGAGATTTAATTCTTAGTGATCACGTTGTTATATTTATCGTGTCTTTTGTATGTGTGTGTACGCTTGCATGTACATTCATTTTTAAAGAAAAATTTAAAGCATGAATTTGGTTTGCAAATGAAATTTCACATTTTAAAATGAATTGGATTTAACCACTTTCTAAATTTTTTAGTGATATAGTTAAAAAATAAAAAATAAAAATACCTATATTGTACTATTCAAATAGTATCCTCAAAAGATAAAGTTCTCAAAGTCTTACCACCCTACTTAATCCTAATACCAAATAATTCTTTACACCTTTTTTTTGTCCAATGTTTTGCTGAAAGAAGATTAGTAAATAAATAAATGATTATTAAACCTTTTTTAATTTTTTTGAAAAAGATCGAAACTTTGTTTTAGAAATATTATTTAATTAAACACAAGTTGCATTGTAAGAAGAAGTAGCTTGGTATCCAACTTCTTCCATTTTAAATGCATAGAAGTTGCAGAGCATTAGTTTAGTTATTTTGGTTTATTTCCAACTGTTTTTATGGTATGCTAATGAAAACCTCATCAATTATACACAGATAATAATAATAATAATCATGAATCAAATTTTTTTTGTACAAATGAAAGCATTATACTTCATGAAACAAGCTTCAAAGTAAATTGAAAATAAAAATTGAATTGCTTGGCCAAATCTACAAAGGGTAGTGATCCATACTCAAGTATCACCAAAGGCTATTATATCATGACATTATTCTTTTAATTGGCATAATAAAGGCCTTTCACCACCTGCAAAATTTAGAGAGATCATGGAATCAAGGGACTCTCCAAACCTAAAGGCCCATTTTGAAAGGTTTGTGAAGGAAAATTAGTTCTTGGAATATTTTTCATTTGAAGATAAAATAAAGTGAGAAAATAAAGTGAGAAAATAAAGTGAGAAAATAAAGTGAGAAAATGGACCTAGTTATTATTTTCATCATAATTCCAAATAGGAAAGTTCAACTTTATGCCTTAACATTGGCATCATAATGTCTTCAATCGAATCTTGCATAAAATGGATGGATGGTGGATGTCTTCTATCGAAACCATTCATCCACAAATTCATCCATCTATCCATCCATCCACATTATAGGACCTAGTAAAGAAAGCGCTGGGATGTTTGAGGAACAATAATCCCCTTTACTCTACGATGGCTTCACATTTCCGCAACAGTAAAGGGAACCTCTCACTTTTCCCTTTTTCCCCGTTTTTCCTTTTTTCTTTCTTTCTTTCTTTCTGCCTTCCGTAGGAGAAGAAGAGACCAGGATATTGATTCATTAACGCGAGTTTTGGAAGCTAATTTCGGAGCTTCTTAATGATCAAGATGCTTTAAAAAGCCCCAGATATATTTAACATAATCCTAAAATGGATAAAGCAGAAGTAAACAAAAAGAAACTTTAAAAGTAACCGCAACCCAGGTAGGGAGTCCGAGAGGAATAATATTCCCGATTCCTCATAAAGATTCCCTCCCTTTTCCCTTCCCCAGAACCGTGCCGATGTCGTTAGCTCTGGGGTCACGCCCCAGAGACCTAGGTCTGGGCTAGAACGCTGGGGGAACGTAAGGTAAGCGTGGTGGGGACGTGGAACGTTTCAGGGGAACTTCGTCTCGCACCTCAATGAATCAAAGGGAAGAGGTCACAGAGAGCGAGAGAGAGCTCGTTTGCTTTGCTTGGAGGAGGAGAGAGTGTTAGAGTATTCATTCCTGTATTCAGCTTGGCCTGTTGTTGCTCTGCGGCAATTCGAACGTGGAAGCTACGTTGTCATGTTACTGTTACAATCCTTTGACTTCAATTCTATGCTCGCGGAACAATCGTTGCGGTGCGATTACTGTGCTCAGGAGGTGGCGATCGGTTGTTGATCGCTCCGGTCGCTTGGAGGAATCGGAGTCAGGAGATTGAATTTTGTCGGTAGGGAGCTCTCCGTGGTTCAGTTCCGGGACTACATTGGCTGTTTGAATCCGTGTGTGATAGATTGGATTAGGTTTAATTGATTGAGGGTTGAATTGGTGTCGTGCGTTTTATTTTTATTTTTATTTTTTTTAGTGCGGGAGGGAATGTGGGAGTGGCGACCAGGTTGTTGTGAGAGGGGAGGGGGGGGGGGTGGGGGTAGCGCTGCCTTGGGAAGGGGTGGGTGATTAGTGGTCCGGATTTGACCAGGGTAGGTGACGGAGTTTGGAGTTAATCGTTTATCTCTGATGAGGTGTGAAATCGTGCAAACGAGTGCCAGCTTGCGTGTCGGTCTAGCCAACACATTGTATTAGCTTCAATTGGAAGTCAAAGGTTGAGGGAGATGTTTGGTGTTTTGGTGTGAAGCGGAGGTGGTTTGCTTTTGGTGCCTAGATTTTTACAGATTTTTTGATGAAAATATTATTGTTTTTATTTTATTGTGGATACATATATATATATATATATATATATATACATATTGCTAGGAAGGTTTTAATGCGTCTGTTATTTGTCTTGGAAGTAATGCTCTTGCGCGGAATGACCACGATTTAGCTTCTCTTTTCTGCACTACTGTTTGCGAGGGGGTTTCTGCTCACAGACCCGTAAGTGTAGTATAATCTAGTCTCATGGACGCCTGTAGTCTGTCCAGTTCTAAATTTAGTGAACCAATGTTCATTATCCATGTTGTGCGCCTCCTCCCCCCCCCGGGGTTGTTGTTTACCTAGTTCCATGGTGGAATTCCTTGATGGTTTCATTCAGAGGCTAGGTTATTTGTCGACTTCTTTTGATTGTTGGTGTTTGAGGTTGGAAGTGGTATTTGATATGATCCTGGATCGAAAAACTCATTTTGCGAATTCTGAAATAATTTCCTCGTTGTTTGCGTACTTGAAAAACATGATGAGTCGATATCGTCCGGCGCAAATAGTAAACTTGAATCACAGCACTTGAAAAGGATAGTCGCACTCTTAGACAGCAACTGAAGTGTTTTGTTGTTCTGTTCGGGATCCTTGTGTAGATAGTACACGGGATTCTGCCTTAACTGTGGATGTTGTACTGCGTTATCTTTATCTTCCGTCACTCTCATTTTGTACTGAGGTAATCGGATCCGCGGTCGGGTCTGATGTTCAAGGCGTGCTGTACATAGCGGATGAATTGCTGGATCTCTCTCTGTATACTTTGTAAGATTGTCGTTTTCACCCTCCAGGCTTCTACGAACGTGAACATTCTCATGTAGTCTTGACGTAACTAATTAACCTTATATCACAGAAACTCGGATTGTTCCGGCCAGTAGCTGTTATAGGCGCACATCTTCTAGTCTTTCCGTTCGCTTTGAAGTCAGCAGCATGCTCACTTTTGCAGTAAATCTACATTTACATACCTGGAAGTTCGTGATAGTTACGCCCCTGTTCTTATTTCAACAGGTCTCTCGGCTTCTCGATGTCCCTGTTGACCTTGATGTGTGTCTGCTGTCTGTTCAGAAGAGGAGTGCACGAATTCGCATTTCGATGAAGTGACAAACTGCAAAGAAAAAGGTTGAGATATACAGAGAGGCTATGGAGCTGATATCTGCAAAGCTGATCTCAGTTTCTTTGAATGAGATATCTGGCAACATCCCCAATGGCATTAGCAGGTACAGGACCCACAACTTTTCACCTAAATTAGTGTAAAGAGAAAATGCTAATTTAGGTGAAAAATATTTAGGTGAATGAGCTTTGAACACCTTTTTTTTTTCTTTTTTTTTTTTTGTTTTTGTTTTTGTTTTTGGTTAGTATTGTCCCCCTCCCCTGCCCCCAAGCGTCTTAGTATTGATTCAAATTACTCTGAAAGACGGTAATGGCCTTATTCCAAGGGTATACTTAAGCCGCGGGTAGCAGACGTAGTGTCAAGCGCTGATTTTAGGGTTGAGTAACTTCAAACTCATGCTAATGGCATTCTTGAGGTGCGATTAAGCGTCGATACCCTTCGAGGAGTTAGGATATGTTGAAGCAGAGGAGGTATGCCTCTTTTAGAAAGATAGTATTCATCTTTGAGCTATCAGTGGCTTTTTCCTGCAATGTCTCATTTCTTTGCCTCAAGCTTGTAATGGATCATCAACGCACTTTATGGTCATTTGTAATTATTGGCGGGAGGATACCCAGTTGCAGTTGTACCAAATTCGAATGGATCATAGAAGGATATTAACTTGGTGTTCTGGAAACATTTGTGATTTTGGTGTTTCTCTTCTGATTTGTTGGGAAATCATTGTGCCCTTCCTGTTATCAAACATTCTCAACGTCGATCCAGTTACGTTGTAGTTCAACTTATCTTTAATTATGATAATGACACGAATGAGGCCTTTTGGTAAACAGGAAGACGTTAGGTTTATTGTACACCTTGCTGTGATTGCAAGCTGATGATTTTGCGAAGTTCGAATACTGAACTCCAGTTCCATCTAACTTGCTAAGTTTTTTTTTTTTAAAACGAGAAATTCGCAGAAGTTATGTCCACCTAAGCAGTTTCAGGGTAAGGGGTTCCCTGTGGAATGAAATTAGAATGGTATATCTATATTATTCAAAGTGATTTTGTAACCTCGCCTGAGCGTTGCATTTAGATTGGAAGCGTCTGTATCCTGCAAGGAAACCGTTTAACACGTCGTAAAACAAAACTCAATCACGGATCAACTGTCTAATCATTACTAAATTTGTTGTCTAAATTGTGGCCTGTTTACCTTGTGCAGAGCTCAGCAGTTTATCATTCTTGGGATTGCATAGGTACCTTTTGAATTTCTATTGAAGATTCTTTTTATTGAAAGTTGGCTACATCTATACCACACCGCACAATGTCGGACAGTCAGGGTTTATCCGTTGCCACATCGAAGTGTGAACTGAATAAGGGGTGGAGCAGTTCCCGAGACGAGGCAAGAAAGCAGTTGCAATACGGTAATTTATCATCCTGCACAGCAACTCGCTCGAACTGCACTAATTTGGAAGCGTCATCGAAGAAGATGACTCTTAACTCACCCCATTTATATTCTAAACCATCCTCTATTATCCTCCGCATCAAACAACATCCCCTCTCACTTGAGGTTCATCTCCCGGAAGAGAGCTCTCCTAGTTCTTCAACAACTGATTCTTCGGATTCAGACAACAGTCGTGGTGGAGGGATGCTGTCATTCAGCACGGTGGATAAGAGGTCAGTTGACGAAGATTCGGATGCTGAGAGCACTTACAATGCTGACGGGGAGGTGGCATGCGTTGACGACTCTTTAACTGAGTTGAAGAATGCTCATGTGTCTGAAAATCGTACCATCTTAATCCATCACATGGCTGAGGTACTTATTTTCCTTTAGATGTTTGTGTTGTATCCAACTTTTCACAGTCCTCGGAATTCTGTTTCTGGGGGGTTGAAGTCCGCTGTGCATCTTCTCAACACACTCTTTTAACTATGTTTCACATTATCTTTTCTTTATTCCTGCTGGTGTTCGTCGTGTGTGTTTTAAACTATCCAAAACATCGCTTTTATACCTTATTTTCTCTAGTACATACCGTGACGGTATTGGTGTAGAAGTTGATTTGCATGGTACTTATTAAATATTTTCTTCGAATTCAGGTTGCATCGAACATAAAATTAGGGCCTACAGGACTATACCTGGCCGTTCAACTTCTAGATCTGTACTGGAACCATCACCGTGAGAAGGGGAAGATTTTAGATTCTGTACAGCTGCAAGTGCTTGCTCTCACTTGCGTCCATGTCGCCAACAACCGCTTCAATTGCAACAAAAGGTATTAAGGGATTTCTGTTTCGTGCAAATGTCTTTGTACCTTGCATGCAAATTACTGTTTTGTTTACTAATTTTCGTATTTGATTCAAGGTTTAGTAATGTTCATGGTTCAGATTACAGGATATTTTGTTTCCTCGTTGCAATTAGAATAAGTACTAGTATGGACATGTTGTACTCCATTCGAATGGGTTTTCTTCCAACCAAAGTCTTGTGACCAAGGTGCGGTTATGTGGACAGGACCCCAGACGAATTTTGTCACTTGGCGGGTGTAGCGGAAGGAACTGTGAAAGGATGTATGATAGTGAAACAAGAGGCATCGCTCGAGGCCTTGCTTGGAGGCCCGCAAGTTGCTGACACAATTTCTACTTGGGGACTATGGTATACTCTTCATTCTGATGACGCTGTAGTAACTCTATATTATCATCATAGGCTTCTTATATGCAATGTACAGTACCGATAATGAGTTGATATTTTGGCAAGAAGCTGGAATCTGCCACAAATTTATGCGAAACCTTGGCAAGGAATAATAGCTTATATAACATGGGGTGTCTGATGTCTTCAGGCGCAAGATGGGACATCCAGCTAATCAGCAACATTTAATCCAGTTTGTAAGGTTGCTAAAGGGCTCCGACTTCGGAAGCAGGCACTTCCCACGTGACCTCATGGAAGGGTTGCATTTCCCTAGTAGTGCATCAGCGCCGCCTGTTGAAGTTTGCACCACAAATACATCCAAGGTACAGTCTCATGAGGCATGCACTCGAACATTAACAAAATGAACTAACATACTGCGCTTTAAAACTCCCTAGACTTGTAATTTGTATTTTCCGTGCGACTATTTAGTTATTTGCAGTCGTCATAAAAATCTAAGGTGGGTGCCTTCTCTGTTGTGCATCGTGCAGGTTGTGAATGTACTCTTGTCATCAGCTCAAGGGTGTGCTAGCATTTCCAATGGCAGAAAAAGGTCTTTGGAAAAGCCAATTGTGTTTGTGCCAATGAAACGTGGCGCAGCACAAGGTTGAAAATAATCTACATCAAGTCCATACAATGGGGATCTTTTGTTACCCCTTGTGACTAAACAATAAACTGGTGAGAACAATCCTCCAGGTGATGATTATCACCGAAGACTGGAATACCCAGAATTGATTTTGTACACTGTCAACAACAATAACACTGGAAGGAGGAGCCCTTACTGGTAACCAACACTCGAGACATGTTACTCGTAGAACATTTATTTTCACTCTAGATTTCAATTGTTCATAGATTCAAGTCAGGGAAAAGCAAATAAGTGGCCGACACGTCGACCTTTTTTCAGGCGCACTTATCTTTTTCTTTTTTCTTTTTTCCTTTCGTTTTTTTCTTTCCTAAAATTCCTTGATTTGTTCCTAGTTCTCAATTAGGTTGTAGTCCGCTAGTGAATCACATCAAGGTCACATGAATAGGAGATGACTGCAGATTGCGATGGCAATATTTGCTGCAGATACCTATGAGAGCAGGTGTTGACATCTGTGTATACATTCTTTTCTTTCTGCTGCTCTTTCTTAAGAGGTTTAGTACATTGTTGCAAAGTTGTTCGCATTCTTGAAATGCTTAATAACTATGCCTTGGTGGTAGGCCTATGGTCATACTATAGGACAAAGTATAGTGGTAACTCTTTCCACTGTGTGTATAAGCTCAATAAAACAATTCTTTTACTTGAAGTGTGAACCGATTCCTCCTCCTCACTTGTGCTCCTCGAAATGGGTTTCAGTGAGTGCTTGTTCATGTGTGCCCATTCAGTATGTTCTTGTGCTGGAAACTCTGCAACATTGACCCAAATGCTTAAAATGGGTTGTGAATGGGTTGAGCTGGATAAAGAGCAATGCAAGTCTCGGAAACAGTGGTGAGCATAGCGTATTTAAAACCCACCGAGGACCTCATACAGAAAAAAGGATGTTCAGTAGCGCTTTGAGCAGCTGCTGTGCAAGATGTCTGAGCAAGTGTTTCTCTCTGATCTGTCTTACACGGAAGTTTTGTTCTGCTTGACTTGGGCTGTGAGTTTGGACGTCATCAATTCTTCGAATTTTTCAAGCTGGACCTGGAAGAAATGACGGAAAGTCGGATTCGTGATCTGTACAGTGACACCAAAAAAAAAAAAAAAAAAAAAAAAAACACAAGACTCGGAGCTTGGAAAACTTACGTGATCCCGGTCTTCTGAGCCGGAAGTGCACACGTATGTATATGATTCAATAAGGTGTTAAGATTTTAAAACTTCAGCTTGTAAGGAATTCTTTATGTACTTAGCAAGATTATGACAACTTCAAAATTATGAAGCCGAATTTTATCAAACGCTGGCTAATGAGAGTGCTTCCTGACAGACCCATGTGACCTATAAGACCGATTCCCAGCTACAGACCTTGCATTTGCTCCAAGTGTTCAATACTGGAAAAAATAAAATTGAGAGCAGTTGGCACGTCTGGCAAGGAATTCTCATGGAGTCTGGACTCTGAAACTGCCCAACAAACACCAAAACATAATGTGGCCCAATTGAGCAGATCTGAAGCAGACACTGTCATTGTTCTTTCTCGGTTCAGATTATCTCAACTTGGGAGAGAGAACTGTGGGCCATGAATTTTCTACAGTAACCAGATGTGTACTTCGTCAACAGACAGAGCCTTCTAGAGCTTCGGGGAGTTTAGTCGGAGGAGCAAACCCTAAAGAAAAGTAGCAGGGAACACGGTGAAACTGTGGGAGGAGGAGACCTGGACCAAGTCTTGCAATTGGGAGAAAGCTGTGGTGGAGAAGCAATGCAGGAGCTTTCTATCAGGAACTACCCTAACCCCCCCCCCCCCCCCCCCCCCTAAACGCTAAACTTCATTTATTCATACATTATTCATACATATGTGAGGTCAGTTTCTATAAAGATCGTCACATGTGGAAATCTTCAATAGTCCTTGCAAATGCAAGTTTTATCTGAAACTATTTTTTTGTATTTAAATGAAATCTTTTGAGTCAATAGAAAATAAAAATAAAAATAAAATAACATTATTAGAACAATACTTGATGGCTCTTGATGATTTTGTGCCAATGAACTTGCTTTACGAGCACAATCTATTATTTTTTTTATTTTTTTATTATGGATTTTTTTAATTTCTTGTCAAACTCAGTTATTGATACCATTAACATCATCAATTTTTATTGGTAAAATTGATAAATTTATTTAATCTTTGTGCATGCATATTCCTCCAACTCATAGTACATCAAATACTTCTTTGACTTAATAAAGTTGTATTTTTTTAATGGATTAATTGTGCTTAAATTATTTATCATTAGTGATATTGATAAGATAAGACTAAAAATGATTTAGAATAATTTAAGTTTAGAATAATTTAAGTTTAGAATAATTTAAGTTTATATATCTTTAAAAAGTATCATGCAAATTTATGAAGGCATTTTTAAAAAATAATTAAATACCAAACTCATTGCTGGGGAAGAAAAGCTGATATGGGATCAGTTTAAAGATACTCTTATGCTACACAACCCTTTCCAATACATGAGATATACATGGAATAATCGTAGGCAGGATGGTGCCAAATCCCTCGGCCGATTAGACAGGATGTACATGTCCGGCCTGAGCACCGGAAGTCTACATTACGCCACATGCAACTATAGGATTCGGGGGGACATCCATTTCAGACCACTTCCCAGTAACCATCAAGGTGATATTACAACAACAAGAACCCTAAAAAACAATGTATAAATTGAACGCGCTCTATCTTGAAGCCGAAGTTGTCAAAGAGGAAGTGCAGAGAATATGGACAAGCTCACCGCCAAGGGCATCCTCTTTTCTTTCCAGATTACGCAAATTTTAAAAATTCTACAAACAATACTGTCGCAAACTAGCAGAAGCCGAATGAAGAGAAGAATCCACTACCAAAGCCGAGCTTGTAACGGCACAAGAGAAACTCCACTCTCAACCAGATGATGCACACTGGCAAATCCAATCAGAAACTTGCCGCGACACACTCAGTAAGATTGTGTACAAGAAACTACATGGACGCTGCATCAGAGCTCGAATTCGGTGGAGGGAGAAAGGGAACAGCATGACGAAAGAATTCTTTCATATTGTCCGTAAGAAACTCGTCCGGAACACGATTATAAAACTACAAAACAGTGAAGGGACACATGGCACTAACCATTCTGCGATGGAACAAATCTGCATCAACTTCTGCCACCAACTGTACGCGGCCCGACCGAGAGATGATAGTGTCCTCAGGGCCGAGGAGGCAATCCTCGCAACATTACCAACAACACTCTCACCCACCGCTGCACAACTCCTCGGACAACCACTCATGGAACATGAAGTATATGTAGCGGCAATAGAGTTAGCACATGATAAAGCTCCCGGCCTGGATGGTGTAGCTGTGCAATTCTTCATAATTTATTGGGACCAAATCAGTCAGGACTACTGTGAAAATACAAGATGCCGTGGCAAGAGGAGCCTTCTGAGCGACATTACCAACGGCCTTATCACATTGCTCACGAAGTCTGGCGATCAGTCCATGCTAAGTAATTGGCGGCCAATTACGTTATTAAACATCTCATACAAGATCTTCACCATGTGTCCCTTCACTGATACATTGATACATTGATGACGGTCCGAAACTGCTAGGCACCCCTTTCGGACTCACACTCAATATCTTTGATACAGATCAATTTTTAAAACAAAAAATTCAGAACAAACTTGGGTTCTGGACTTCCTCCAAATTGTTGCTTGTAGGTCGCTGACTAATCGTTAAACAAGTATTAGCCTCAGACATTATGATATTTCGTAGTATTGTGGGCTGGGTCAAGACAAGGTACAAAGAAAATCAGAGCCACTCTCCGCAACTACCTTTGGACAGGGCGGGAACACCGTGCGTGCTCAAGGGTGGCATGAACGACCTGTATACTCAAGAAGAAGGTCGGTGGATTGAGCCTCATCAACCTCGAACATGCAATGACATGTCTTCTTAGTAAACGGATCATTAAAGCCATAGAACCGAGGCAATCCAACCTCATTGCACTCTTGCGCCATTGGCTAACACTGTGCCAACCATCCATAAGTGGGAGATGGAAACCGCTATGGTGGCAAGGTATTGCAAATCTGGGGCTTCAAAAAAATGGACCCAGATTGGAAAAGCATGGCAGAACATGGTCAAGGTAATTCAGTGGTGGAAATCCCGCACCCACGCTAGGGCAATCAACATTGGCTTCAGACTGGAATTTGTAAGCTCAATACATCATGTATTCACCTACTGCCATTCCAGGGTTCTTTGATTGATTAAAGAACAAGATTTGAAAGTAGGTAAGGAAAAGGTTTTTTGAGAGTTAGTTTCATGAGATTTGGAGTCATATTGAGTTTTTGAGGCCTTTTCAAAATGAGAGATGTACTCCGTGGTTTCAAATTTTGAAAAATATAAAATTTACAATTTTGAGTATTGTAAGAATGGTATAGCACATTTAAAGGTGAGATTCTATAAAATTTTCATTGTGTTTGTCTTCAAAGGGTTTGAGAACTTTGATGTGAATCAAGCAGTTAAATTAACAAACATGAGAGTTTTATTGGATTAAGATCTTAGATTTTGGAAATTTAGGATCAATGAGGGACTTAATAATTGTAAAAAATTATTAATTTAATCTAAGCAAAAAATGGTACTAGCAATACAGACTTAGAAATATATACACCAGCCAATTTGTGAAGCAATTGAATAATTCAAAAAAGAGAAATTGCTACTGAAATATTAATATCTAGATTAAAGAAGAAAGATAGCCAACATCCAAGTGGTTTAGGAGCTGTTTCTTTGGATAGATGAGTTCAATTTTTTTTCAAATTTTTTATGCTTATTAATTATTGTAGATTGGAATGTAGATTAAATTTAAATTGAGATCAACAATTTGATTAATATTTATTGAGATTTTAAAATAGTTATAGGATTTGATTAAAATTGGTTTAGGATTTGATTAGGATTTGGTTAGGATTTAGTTAGAATTGATTTAGGATTTGATTAAGAGTTGATTAGGATTTGGTTAGGATTAGGTTAAGATTTGGTAAGAATTGGTTAAAAATTTGGTTAGGATTTAGGATTTGTTTAGGATTTCATAAGAATTTAATTAGAATTTGATTAAGATTGGTTTAGAATTTTATTAAAATTTGTTGAAGTTTTGTTTAAGATTATATTAAAATTTGATTAGGATTTATTTATGATTTTTATTTTTAATATTTCTTTAAGATTTTTTTGATCTTTTTTAATATTTTTTATTATACATATTTATATAAGGTTAATTTATAATTTATTTATGTTTCATTTGAAATTTCTTTGAGACTTCTTTTAGATTTCGATTAAAGAATGATTATCATTATTAAAATTTAATTGGAATTTGTTAAGGATTCTATTAGGGTTATTAGAATCTTCTTGTTACAAATTCTATTTAACCTTCTATAGCTAAGTACTTGGTGCATTTTCAAGTAGACTTTATAAAATACAACATTGCTTTCTCACATGGTAGGAGGCAAAAACAAAGTTCTATATATTGGAAAAGTAAGAATAAAAGTCGAATATCATCATAACAGGGATCATCACAGTCCACTATAAAATATGAATTTGGATCTCTACTCCAACATGACCTATCTACTACAAAACACCAAAGACTAATTAAGCTTGTATATATAAGGATCCATGTATCAT